CCCCCCCCCCCCCAGGTTTGCAGGCTCTGCTTTTCTATGCAGGTGGTTGCTGGATTGTGATGGGCGTCTTTGTTTTTCTGAAGGCAGTGTGAGTTTTGGTGGCTGGCATTTGGCGAGGCATTGCTTAGGTCCTGGGACTAGCTGGGAAAGTTTTAGGGGCCGAGGGCAGCGGCCGCCAGTGAACCGAACCCACTCACTGCTTGTATGCACCCTTTTCTCCCTCTTAAAAAACTTTAAAAAGAAAAAAACTAAGTAGATAGTGCTGAACGTTTTAGCTCATGGAACTTGGTTAGGATGGCTGGGGTGCAGGTCCCCACACTACCTCTTGCAGTAGCCAGGGTGAGTGGAATTTAGTGAAACGGTACTTTCAGTTTGGGGTGGGACCCAACAAATGAGGCCGGATCAGCGGCTTCATAACTTCTCCCTCCCTTTCTGAGATCTCACATTCCATCTGTCACAGACTGTCAAGGAGATGCTGGGGTATCAAGGAACTCACTTGGCAGTCAGAGCATCGTGCTCTGAGGGTCGAGGTGCTCGGGCTGAGAGTGGATGCCATCCCACAGGAAGAGCCACAAAAATGCCTTAATTTGAGCCCATTTCTACCCTTGCTGACGAGGGACTTGAGATGACTTGAGACTTCTTGGTTTCCTTCTGGTCCTCCTTCCCTCCCTTCTGCCCTTCAGTGGGTGTGGAAAGGGTGTTTCCAGTAAAGCTTGATTCCCGAAGCACCTGGCCTCTTTAGTCTCAAGTGGCAGTTTCATTCAGAATGCCAAGTGGATCATCTTTTGGGTATCTTTTCTATACATTTTATAAAGCTTTACATATGAGAGAGGGTATAGGTAGGTGTTTTAAGACACCTTAGAACTTTTTTCCTTAATATCAGAAAGCAAATAAAATAAAACCACAATTAAGATTTGCCTTTCAAACCCTCAGGTGTTGCCTCTAACCAGGTGGCCCTGGTCACCATCAGTACTGGAACCAAGGAGACCTGTTCCGTGTGTGTGTGTACAGGACTCTTGGAGTGGAAATGAGCTTGTTCCTACTGGCGTTTAGTTCCAATGCATTTGCCTCCGGGAAGACCCCAGTGCCTTTTGACAATGGCCAGGGTTTTCCCTGTTTCCCACCAGGTTTTCCCAAAGGAAACTCATTCCAAATATTTACCTTCTCCGCTGGGGTCTTTAAAGGAAAATGAAATTCTGGTTCATACTGTGGTCCCTTGTAACCTCAGGTTTTTAATGTGATCACTCTCAAATGTAAAAGATCTGGGTGGAAATATTTTTACTATGCTGGTAATAATTCTGCACAATACCTGGATTCTTAACGCTGTTACGTTTCAGTGTAAGTGGTGACTTTTTCTCTTCATGTCTTCGATCTGGTTTTGTTCCTGTAACAGCCACTCGATTTTGTGAGGGGGAATAATACGTGGTTTTGTACAAACACGTTTCTCGGTGTGTGGTTATTTCGGGAAGATGAAGGGAGGGAGTGTGGTGAGATTGGAGGAATTTGATCAAGAAGGCCTGATATCCTTCTTTTTCAGTGAATAAATGGAACATCATTTCTGGATTCTAGTGCATCCTCTGCATTTCTGTACCAGTTTCTTCGTGTGTTCTATGAAGAGCCTAAATATTCAGCCCCGTCTGGTCCTGGTCAGCAGTTACAGTTCAGTGGCTGGTGGCTTCCTTACTGACTGACCAACCACCCTCATCACACTTAAGCAACACACGGTTGAAAGTGCCTGACCCACTGTTTATTTCCTTGGTCAAGGTGAAAGAGGAAGTTCTCCAGGGACGGTGGCCAGCACTCTGGCACCTCCCAGAGAAGCCTCATTTTGCTTGGTCAGCTACAGAATGTTCGTCAGGGTGCAGCTTAGTGCCAAATTGGAGGCGGTCCTCGAGGGTGATGAATCCATGAACCTCGATGTACTCATAAGGACAGCCTCAGAGCACCCACAGGTGCAGACCTGAGCAGGAAACAGAAGCCATCATCTTCAAGGTGCCATGAACCCAGGAAGCAACAGACGTAGATTCTGTGTCTGCCAGGTGGTGAGCACCCAGCTCCTCAGGGACGACGTGTGCCAGGCTGGGTGTGCTTTGCTCTCTGACCCGATACGACTTCTTCCAGTGAAGAGTGCCAGAGGCAGCCAGCTCATGGGAGTTCTGTGCTTCCCTGAGGGTGATGAGGGAGGTTAATTCTTGCTCCGGGTGAGAGACTGGTTTATAGAGCAGTGTGAATTCTTTCTAGAGCATAACAGAACATGTACAACCAGTCAATCTTCGACAGGTTCCTCAGACCCTTACTTGGGGCATCATTCCCCCAAATGTGGTTAAGAGCAGCCATTTTCCAACCTCAGTGCATGCGGATCCAGGCCACTCCTTGCCGGGTGGAGGACACCAGACCACAAGTTGACAAGCATGGTTGTGCCCAGTGTTCATGAAGAAAAACAGGGTAGCATGGAGTTTTGTAGGGATAATGTATAGTCTGAATCAGATGGTTTCTGTCTTGCTGGACTTGGTAACCCTGAAGGTTGACTTTCATTCCAGGAAAACCATGTGAATAAGCACCCTTTCATCTGGATATGCAGTGCCAACCCCAAGAAGCTTTCTTTCCACAAACTTCCCTCCCTGTGACCACTGTGAAGCCCTGCTTTCTACAGTTCCAGAAGCATAGCTGTTATTTGCTCCAGTTGAAGCGGGACTTCTGGGAACAGTGTGAAAGCACCTTGATTCCGTTAGTGGGTTGTGTTTGTTTAAGGAAGTCGTCTTGCAGAATGGGATGGGAAGGTTTATCCTTGAAGGAAGTGCTACCTGCTTTCAAGCCCAGGACCCTCAGTGTTGGCTCTCCCTGTGAACATCTCCCCTGAACGTTTCTCTGGCCTGCCACCACTCTTGTCATTAGGAAGTACCTTTGATCCTGAACTTGAACCAGGGCTGTGAGACAAGATTGCCATACCCAGCGGGTGACCAAAGGCAGAGTGAGAGTTCTCTGAATCCACCTACACAGAGGTTCCAAAACCAAATAACTTTCCGGGACCACCCAGCCCTGTTCCAGGGGAAGAGAGCTCGTCTTCTGCCTGTCTGTTCCTACTGCACCCAGAGGTTTTTCCAGGCCCTTTGAAACCCATGGAGAGCAGCCAGGCACTGATTTCTGGCAGCACCTCACCACCACCTACCCTTAGATAGGGCGTCTGCAGGCCTCAGCAAAATAGCTGTGGTTAATATCCTATGGTGACCACCATCTCAGGCAACAGATAAGAAAGCAAATGCCTCCCACTCTGGTTCTTTGGTTCTACCACCTAAAGTGCCCTCACTGCCAGATAGTCTAGGAGGAGTTAGGAAGCAACAGGGCTCTTAGATGGTTATAGCCCCTTTGCACAGGGCTTTTGGTTTTTGTGGCTGGTTTGGCCCTGACAGATTTCCCATGGCCGTCCAAATTGACTGTCATTCCTTGTCTGTTTAGTCTGCAGTAGCTACAGGGTTCTGGAAAAACACTTAGGTTGCCTGCTGGGGCAGCAGGACTCTTCTGCGGACAAGCCTAGTTGCTCCACGTCAGAAGCTCTCTGTTGACTTGTACTGTGTGTGGCTTTCTCCCAGCTTGACTTGATTTTGGGGTAATGGAAATCGGGCCTTTGCAATCTTGTAGAACGCTCCTGGGACAAAATGATGATCTCCAAGTTGGGATGTCCTTGAGGATGAGAGCACTTGTGCAGTTCAGAATCCAGAGTTGCCTGCAGCAGGGGGGTAGTGGTCAGCACAGAGAACTCAGGATCCTGGCCCTTGGCTCTTCCTGTAAATGGTTCAAGAAGGCTTGTTCCCAGCAGCCCATCACCAAAACAGTCAGGGCCCACTGCCCTGCAGCCCAGAACCAGGCATCTCTACCCAGCACACTGCCACGAGAGGCCATTCTAGATGTCCCTTTGATCTAGGACAACAGCCTGAACTTGTTGCTGTGTTGTACCCTGTTGTACCATAGCATTAACTCTTAAATGCCCAAGTGGAAGTGGCAGGTTGGAGGGAGAGGCAGGACTTGCATTCTGCCAAGTGAGGCCATACCTCTGCATCCTGATGCCTCTTCGGAAATTAAGACGCCAGAATGAAAAGGTTTGAAATCAAGGTCTCAGCCCTGGCCTTACCACAATAGCATGATCTCTGTGCCCATTTGCAAGTGTGTAAAATGACCGGTGAGATGTTCGTAGTATGGTTACAAAGAACCAGACAAATTAGACCACAAGAAAATGAAAAATTCACAAAGATGTCAGTGGTTATGCCTGAGGACTTAGAGCCAGGAACCATGCTGCTTCCTGTGCGGACTGCAGTGTGTCCCAGCCATGGCAACTGGAGCAGCCCCGGCCCTGGACAGCATTCCTGGTGAAGCCAGGGGCTTTCTATGCACAGGGAAGCTGGCTGTAGCCATGGCAATGGCCCTGGTGCCTGCCTTGGCAGGTTGTCAAACCCACTAACCTCAGGCCTGCAGAGCCATTGCCTCACAAAGCATCCCTGATGCCCAAATGCACGAGACTTGAGCGTGTTCCAGTTCCTGTATCTTACCTCCCCTTCTCTAGCCTACCCTAGCCCTTGCGCCCAGAAAGGATATTACATTCACTTGATACTGTATGGTTACCACTTTCACATGAGACTTGGGTCGCTAACTTTCCTAAGGTCACACACATCTGTTGCCGAAACCCGCTCTTCCCATCGCTGCCTGCACCAGCTCGCATCCATCTTCTGGCGGTGTCGCCCAGCCAGGTGTGCTGGACTCCTCTGAAGCTGCTGGCGGGACCTGCTAGTTCCATTCAGAATGGAACTGAATGCGATGGTTGATTTAAAATCTCCCAAATGAAAGTTGTAGCAGAATTTGTCTCCAGGGAAGGGAAGGTGGTTCAGGAAGGAGCCATTTCATATTTTATACCATATGCTTGCTTATTTTACTTAATTCAAAAAGTGAATTTCTTTAACAAAATTATTGAAATGAGGAGCTGGAGTAGGTAAGAGTTTTAAAGGTGTGGGAAAAGGGACCCCATCCAGACATTTGTAAAAAACACAGGAGTGGTTGTCATGCCCCAGACTTCAAAGGACCCATCCATGAGGCCGCCTTCCCACAGAGAATGGCCTCAGGAAGGAGGGAGGGAGGCTTGTTCACCGATCCTCAACTCTGGCCACCACCACCCGAGTCAAGAAAACAGAGAAGCTACAGACCAGGGAAGCAGGGAAGGGGTTGGAGGGTGCCTGTGGCCAATAGGCAAGTGCAAAGCCCTACCCAGCCTTCTGCTCAGAGAAGGTTGTTGCAATCTGGTATTTACTGTCCCCAGAGGCTGCACGAAACCAGAGAAAGACAAATACCATATGATATCACTTATATGTGGAATCTAATGAAAAAAATAAAATAGACTCATACAGAAACAGACTTACAGCTGTTAAAGGGGAAGGGGTTGAGGGGCTGGGTGAAAAAAGTGAACAGATTAAAGAAAAACCTCATAGACAACATGATGATCACCAGAGGGAAAGGGGAGTGGGGGAGGCAGACGAGAGTAAAGGGGGGGAGGAGACAACTTTGGGTAGTGAACAAAATATACAGATGATGTAGAATTGTACACCTGAAAACTATGTAATTTTATTAACTTCACCCCAATAAATTCAAAAATTTTTTTAAATTAAAAAAATATATAAGAGAAAGTCTGCAGGAAGCTCCAGATCCATGGTTCTGGGGTGAGAGTAGATGGTTGTCGTTCGTTCCTTTATGCCTCCTCGGGGCCTTAGGAAGCCTCCCTCTGCCTGGCGCTGTGCGCTCAAGTCCCCGCCAATGAGATCGGGGCGAAAGTGTCTTTACTCCTTGGAGCAGGTGAAGAAGGCTTCACGGAGGGGAAGGTGCTAGAAACAGCTTTCTGGGTTAAGGAGTTTGCCAGGCAGACCTGGAGAGGAGGAAACACCAGGCAGAGCAAATAGGCTGCAGCAGTAGTTCCAGTGAGAGAATCGGGCTTTGCGCCAAGGCAATGCCAGCCAGAGACACTGAATCTCCATCCTAGTCACCTGTGTGCTTCCCTAGGGTAAGAAATGGGAGGCTCTCAAATAAGAGTTGCCACATCTCGGGCTGTGACCCCAAATGTCACCATTTGAGTCAATAACATCAGGTTGACGTTCGATTTGGGGGATAAACTAGGTGGCCAAGCTGCGACCCCCCGACCAAGCAGGGCTCTGGGGACGAGTGGTCCTGGAGGCCCCACGGTGAGCTCCAGACGCGCCCTCAGGCTGCTCTAACGCCTGTCCCGGCGTCCGCCTGTCCCCAGGCTGCGATCGAGGCCGCCTGGGGCCACCCAGCAACCTGAGCTTCGGAGGCCGGGGACACGGGGGGCGACGTATGCTGAGAGGGAGGAGGAATGGACCAGGATTAAAGGCCGCTCCCCGGGTTGCCAGGAGGCGGCCAGGAGGGCGGCGAGGTGGCCACAGTGCCGGGAAGGTCTTCCCCGGCCTCCGGGGCGCATTCCGGCGGGCCCGGCTGAGCGCGGTCTGCGCTGTGGCCGCGACGGATTAGGTCTGATCCGATTAGAGCCTGGGCCGTCGGCTTCGCCCCTCGCCTGGCGCTGCCAGCGCCCGCCCGGCCCTCGTGGGGACCCGGAGGTCTCCCCGAGACCCTTCCCCGCCCGGAACACGCGGTTGGCGCAGAAAACCGAGAGGCTCCCTGCGCCGCGGGTTCGACTCTCTGCCGTGGCGCGGGCTCGGGCTTCCGCCCCCTGCGGCCCTCCGGAGCCCCGCCCAAGTCTGCGGGTGTCTGGGCCCCCGCCTCCGTGCGCGCCGCGCGGCGGGTGGGTTCCTCGCGGGTGGGGGTCCCG